GACGAGCTGCATTGCTAACGCGGCACAACTAGAGCAACTCGATTGGAGTGTGATTTGGCATGGTGTTAGTCAAACGCGTTGCGCTGAACTCGTTCATACCCCCCTTTCTGAGCGTGACCTGTTCGTTGGTGAAACCAACGGCCGAAAAAGGGGGTCCCATGTTGCATTTTTTGACGGATTTCTCCACTATCTTTCGACACCGACGTACCATTGAGTACACCACGTCACCCCTGATCCCTTCCAAACCTGTCGTAATCGCTGCCTTTAAGCCATTTCATTAAGGTCTCCTATTTAGGGAAATCTCCATTCAGTTGGTCTTTTTTCGAGGGTATCACATTGATCGTTACGTTGTTAGGTGAACCACCCCAGTAAAATGTATTGTCGTGACAGGAAAAGTGCGAAATAATTCTGAAGTGTGCACTAAGCATGACATGATTTATCATTATGATATTATGGTGATGTTCATATGTAAATAGCTATTAAGGAAATAAATGTAAATAGGTCGCTTACTCCATTATCTGCAAGTGCTTGCAATAAAGCAATCACATGACTCACTCTCTGAAGCAGATTACTCAACGGTCCAGGCCAGCGTCAACCTAATAGTAAGCGTATGGCCCACTTAAAAAAGTTCCTCCAATACGACCCTTCACTACATCCGGTCATAATCCTCCATGGTCACCACCACGGCTGCTTCTACAGTACTTAATTCCTGAGCGAGGTTGAGAAAGGAGTGGGAGGGGATGGGTAGGTATGTCCAAACGGGCTAGATGGGCGGTCTAGTCCGGTCTCCAGGTGTCTTATTTCTTCATACGTGCAATACGTGCTTTCCTTCGGCTTGGAGTGGACAGTGCTGCTCTACTGATAAAGAAAAGCTGTGATAATACTGAGCTGATTTGACGTTTTCGTGCCACTGATTCTAGGACTGTACTAGCAGAGTCATAATATTTTAATGGAGTGAAATAAGTGGAAAGCTATTGTGCAGAAAAAAAAACAGCGCTCAATCATCCCGTCAAGTCTCACCTCACACGTCTGGAATGTTCGACATTTATTTAGCTCTGCTGTCGACATAGAACAATTAATTTTGTTCGTAATGCAGTTCTAATCAATTTTTCTCAGGATCATCTTAATGATGAAGTCGTTTTGCACAATTGAGCTCACTCTTGAATTTCACAAAGGTGGACGACATTTTGCAGAGGTAGTTAAAGGCAGCGATTACGATAAAGTGGGAGCACATCGCGGAAACATATGCACCAGTTACTTGGCTGCCAGGGAAGCGAGGTGTAGCGCTTTCACGACGAAAGGTGCGCTGGTTGCTGAGCAGGACTTCGAAAGCACTCCGCCCCAAAAGCGATCCGCCCACTAGTTTAGTTGGTGATTTGGACGAGCGTTGCCAGCAGCGGCACAACTGGAGCAACTCGATTGGAGCGTGGTTTGGCATGGTGTTACCAAACGCGTTGCGCTGAACTCGTTCATAACCGCTTTCTGAGCTGTTACCTGTTCATGAGTGAAAACCAACGGCCAAAAAGGGGTCCCATTTTGCGTTTTTTGACGGATTTCTCCGCTTTTTTCGCCACCGACGTACCATTGAGCACCACCACGTCTCCTCTGATCCCTTCCCAAACCTGTCGTAATCGCTGCCTTTAAGCCATTTCATTAAGGTCTCCTATTTCAGGGAAATCTCCATTCAGTTGGTCTTTTTTCTAGGGTATCACATTGATCGTTACGTTGTTAGGTGAACCACCCCAGTAAAATGTATTGTCGTGACAGGAAAAGTGCGAAATAATTCTGAAGTGTGCACTAAGATGGACATGATTTATCATTATGATATTATGGTGATGTTCATATGTAAATAGCTATTAAGGGAATAAATGTAAATAGGTCGCTTACTCAATTATGCAAGTGCTTGCAATAAAGCAATCACATGACTCACTCTGAAGCAGATTACTCAACGGTCCAGGCTAGCGTCAACCTAATAGTAAGCGTATGGCCCACTTAAAAAAGTTCCTCCAATACGACCCTTCACTACATCCGGTCATAATCCTCCATGGTCACCACCACGGCTGCTTCTACAGTATTTAATTCCAAGCGAGGTTGAGAAAGGAGTGGGAGGGGATGGGTAGGTATGTCCAAACGGGCTAGATGGGCGGTCTAGTCCGGTCTCCAGGTGTCTTATTCTTCATACGTGCAATACGTGCTTTCTTTCGGCTTGGAGTGGGAGTTGATAATTGGCATCTGGTCGTCATAGGAAGCTGGAGCGGAAGTCGTTTCAAGCAGACAGATGCACGCCTTTCCAGATAGCACGCAGTCATCTCTTTTCTCGAACTTGTTCGTAGTATCTCATTCGGCTAGTTGTAATTGTTTTTCCGGGTTGCCACTTTAGCACCGTGTCATTTTATCTCATTGAGTCTCGATTGCTTATTGCTAAGATTTGTTGTCAGACTTGATCGCCAACGCTTCACAGCTTCACAGGGTTGGCGGAATAATTGAGCGTTTTTTAGCCTGGCAGATTGCTGAAATCTTCAGATAAATGCTGGGACCTTTACATCATTAAGTGACCGTACACGGACGTCATCCATCCCGCTTGGTTAGCGTAGCGTGACAAATGACCACAAACACCTTCCCTCCGAGTTCCTTTACTCTGATTATCCAGTAGCCTTTCTTTCGTAGGTTATACTACAGCTCCTAACCAGTTTCCAAAAACCTAAAGTTTATGGCCATGCCGTTGAGTCCGGTCACTTTGACGTTATGCTCCATCACCCGGCATTTGTCGGAACCCCTTTTTCTGCGCAACCTTTTGAGCATTCCGATTCTCCCCTTCAACTACTTCCAAGTATCCCCTCGTGAGAGTTACTGCCGTAATGTCCAAATATTAGGTACCGGATATCTTAGTGTCGCTTTTCTGAGTTCAGGAAGTTTTGGGGCCGATTACTATGGAAAATCAATATCTCAGAAAGTCCTTTTTGCTCATTAATACTGCGAAATATGTTGCTTATTGTTTTCTATTGTTGGTTCACAATTTAACTTTCCCCCAATTTTTATACTTTTTTTTGAAAATTCCTGGGTCCAGTGTGCAAATTCGCATGTGTGTACCAAATGCTTCAAAGACTACAACTTCCGCCCACCAAACCAACATTGCATTTGTTGGAGGGAATACTACCATTTAAAATGCTCATCGGTTTTTCACAGTTTTCTCAAAAGACAGTGAAGTCTTTGAAGTGATGCCCGCAATCGTCGTCAAAAAGGTGGCCCTAGTTAAATCAGTCGAGACGGGGCTGCACCAGTCTTGTGCTGAAATGGTAGGACACCTTAGCAGTTACTGATCGATGGTGCACAGACGCTCTAACGAAGTTGATTGACCAAGAAATTCTAATAAATGTGCTCATCTGCTACTCACGTGTGCTCAAAAAGGGTGCGTTTTTGACCCCATGTGGCAAAAAAGACTCCGGGAAAAATTGTCCAGTTGAGCTGGTAAGTAATAAACTTTTCCACCATACAGTGCAGACCCTACTCTAACTAACTGTATACTTCTTTTGTCCAGGCCTAACTTTTTAGCAAGTGAGAGGGATGATTTGTCAGATGATGTCAAAACCGACCTACCTCTCTTTTTCGACTCAAAAAATTCCTAGCTTTAATCGTACGAGGTTTCCACTCATACTGGTAAATGGGAAAGTGCTAATGAGTCATTCGATGAATATGCTGTTTCACTCCCCGGATTCTGAATTAAAATATTGGTGGTCCGAAACTCGTGGTGAAAAAACGACACTAAGATATCCGGTACCTAATATTACCTATAGAATATAAAAGGTATCTATATAAAATAGAGCATTACAACAATCATGGCATGACCTTAAAACGACATCGCAACACTGAATTAGACTTTGATCTAATTGCATCTCTTCTTCTTCCTCTCTCTCCCCATGCTTCCGTACTCCCTCCACTGCTCCCCAGCTGCCACTGGAGTACCATGTGGAATGACTGAGAATGTGCCCAGTAGGTTTTGTCTGCCATTGCAGGAAGTACCACAGCCTTGACGTTGCAGAACATTGATAGCGAGAGACCCAGGTTTTGTTTGGGGTTTGTATCACGAAGCTTCCCCAGGCAGTTTCCATCTTGCGACGCAAACAGCACACGAAATCATACATGCGTATATATTCTAACCGAACACTAAATTAGCTATTTATGTAGTGAGATTCGGTATTCGGTATTTATCACAACACCTCCGCGGCCGCTTGCCTTTAATCAAGGAGTACTCTTTCCATTTAGAATCAATGTGAAGATAAGAACCTGATCCTGTTGCAGATTGGTAACAACCAGTTGCTTTGTTTTCCACTAGATTGTAAGATGATAGAAACTATGGAAAACATTTTATTTGTATGGAAGCCCCGATGCGATGCCACATTGACTCAAATTTTCCCAGCCGGATATTTGTTTGTGTGGACAGAGCTCAGTCTAGCTTGATGAGCTCTTCCTCATTGATGTTACGCGCAAGCTCAGCTCCTTTGGCCATCACTGTGCATCTACTACTCAAAGAATTTTTTCAGAAATCTGAATCTTTTGCTGATAGCTACTCGTTTTTAATTTGGTAAACTCTTGATGTGAGGTTATCAATTTCCCCCTCTCCACCCCACTCCACGACCGGTCGCTTTAGCATGGTCGATGCGGCAACTTCAAAAAGGCTCCCCGACTACACATCTTAAAGCAACAGTTCAGGAACGGTTTCGCGGGAAAAAACCACCAATAATGAAGTTGTAGATGAAAACCAGACGATTAATGTATGAAAAACTGGAAAAAAACGTCGGGGAGGGTCTTAGACAGGTACTCTCCCTCTGCCGCTCAGCAATGGATAAAGACGCACGTTGGACGAGTTGTCTGAACGTGCCCGCTGTAAACGCGCTCCATTTTTTTCATCAGGGCGGGATTGGGGAAATCCCCAAGAACACCCATGTTTGAGGGACTTTCCACCCTGTTTTTGAGTTTCTGAGGTAAGTTCGTTTATTATTTCCACTGCATATGTTCTTCACTAGGGCTCGTGTATCCCTCAGTAGTAGTGGCATTGAAATTTTCGGACCCTCCCTGAACTGTTGCTTTAACGACGCGAAAGTCGAGGCGCTGTTTTGCAGATCTCAGCGACCCCTCTCCTATAGCCGTGAATGCAAACTTCTGATCTAGCTCCCAACTTGATTACTCTTAAAATCATTCACCCGCAAGATTACTCAGCCGCTTAGCTCGCCGAGTATATCATATGCATGAAGAACTTTAATCAAATATCAATAGATCATATATGCATACATCATGAAAGAAACATTTCAAAGTTTGCTAGACATATATGTTACTCATTGGAGAACCGGACTCCATCATTTGAGAAGGCTAAGGATGCAACGTAAACGAAGCCAATTTGGAGTGCTTCCGAGCTCAAGTAATCATTGTGCTCTATCAGATGTGTCTGCACGTTGAGCATTTTTTTCCTTGTTGTTTCGTTTTTCTTGTTTTTTCGTATCCTGATGATGATACGATTGCCAATTGTCGATTTCGATCATATACCTGACCCGTGAGCACACACTGTGAACAGTTTTGTGTTAGTCTAGTAATTGGGCCGAATTTTGCTTTACCTATGGCCAAAGTACTCATTACAACGATAGCCGTTCCCATGTGTTTTTTTGGCCTTTCCTTTAATTTCTGTCTGCTTTGGGCGACCGCTACAGACAAGCAACTGCATCAGAAACTTTGTGAGTTTATTGAGAAATTGATAAAGTTAAACAAACCTTCAGATCGTCTGCCACCGTCTGCTGAAGTGCAATGAAGGCGGCGTGGACCAGTAACTAAAGGAATAGGAAGAAGAGGATTGTGTGCCATCACCAGGCGCTCTCTACTAGGCGTAGTCCGGGAAGGGGCCACGCCTAGAAGGATTCCGTCTTTCAGTAGTCTCATAGTGATTTCGTATTCAAACCAATAGGGAAAAGGAGGTTCAAACAAACGCACGTTTTCATGGCTGGGTTCAAAATAAAACTTCAATTCACAGTAACTCCCATTTGCATTCTGAGAGAAATCGGAATGCGTGGTGGTACCAGGAAGAATTGGTTATATTGCTTATAGAGGGATCCTTACCTTGTGAAATAGATACGTTTTTACGCAATTTTCAATTTGTTATTGATTTTGTTTTGACATCTGTGGCTTGCAGTTTATATTGTGGCTGTGATCACTTTTCTGCATGAGATGTGCCTGCTCAATGAGCTGTACCTCGAAGCTCGACAACTACGGTAGCCATGAATTTGGAACTCCTACAAGAGATGCCGCATCAGTTTTTGTTTCAGATTTCACGCCCTTCCACGCTCAGAAGTGCTTCCGCCATACATGCGTTTATGTATTCGCGATGGTGGCTCAGTCGGCAATGGTTTTCATGTTGGCCTTGGATTTACTCTTCGCTGTGGTGATACCGCTAAGGTAAGTGTAGTATCATGGTAGTTGCAAGTACCACGCCCAGAGTCTGTAGGAAATCCACTGAGTCCGGCTCAGGCCAATCGATTCTGTAGCGTCAGGATCGACTAGTCAAACTTGTCTCAGAAACAAAACCCTGACTTGTACATTGGGTAAGCCCACATGCCACTCTGAGGTCAAATCGTATACATGGTGCCACGTACTATTGCCCTCACAGCACGATTCTACGGCGATAGGAAACAGAACAGTTCGAATTCTTGCTCACCGTTACCGCTGCGCTATGCTAGACCCGTTCACCGTCACTGCTTGACTCTACCTCGTCCGCTTACCTCTTCGCTCATCTTTCCTGAGCTTTGAGCTGCTTTAAGCTTTTGTAGGAGTTCCAAATTCATGGCTACCATAGCTGTCGAGCTTAAAACCGAATCACGACGTTTCACTGCAAACGCGGCCCAACGAAAGGAGACACTGCCCGTCGTGTTTGGCTCTTCCTGATGTGACCTGGTTACACGGTGGTCTCCTCCGACTTTTTTCCTAGTCTGCGAGCGTTTTGAAATCGAATTGACCACAGGTTGGCGTACCCTGCACCAGAATGGGCGGTGATATCTAATCCATCCGTATAGTTGGTGCGTGCTGTGTGCATTTTCACCCACACTCCACTCAACCCAAATTTGAAGACAGTCTTAACGATGAAAAGTGAGCTCATTAGAGAACAAAGTAGAGGTGCTCAGTGATGAACGGATGAAGAAAGAAGAGGAGAAACGGCTAAGACCCGAGAAATTAGATCCCTTTTCTTCCTATTCATTTTCGTATTGATGCAACTCTCATAGGTGCTGCCCTCTTCAACGCTATCGCTCTCACTGCCAAACGTGTAGAGTCAAACGACAAACCACTATTTTAATTTTTTACTTAGCAAATTGCTACTCGCACATGCACAGCATGTACACAGACATACTATCGCACTAAGTGACACATTGTAAATCATTATTGCTGATCCCAGGCATCACGTGATCTCCACATTGCCGTATGTCTTTTGTATGTGTGTTCCACCGTTCTTGCTGGCCCTTGTTACTGTCATCAGTTCGATGATTTTTATGAACGAGGAGGAGATTAGCTTCTGCACACCAATCACAGGTGAGTCTGCACAAGCAGTTTTCTTTTATTTAAATGCAACACTTTTTCGTGGGACGGGGCCGATTCAATCGCGTGCTAGGAGCTCGCACCGTTCATGCGGAGGGCCGAGTAGCGCCCACCGCGGGTCCGAATGGGCGTCAGCTTAATTTGCCGATTGGGTGTTGTGAAAGAGAGAAAGAATTTGACGGAATGATTTCTACATACAAAAAAG